TATTGTACTGCCCTCACCCTAACCTCTTCCTTTTTAGCGTGTTTAGTCTCATGTATCTAATTTATTTGATAACCTGGGGTTAGTGGGATGACAATCAGCGACTCCAAATTTGAGGCGATGGTGCTTGAGCCCAGAAAGGTGCTTTGCCCCCTCCAGGTGGGTGGGGTGTCTTTGCCTCAAATTGAGGAGTTGGGGCATGACTAAGATTTCTTTGAAGAGACTATGTTGCTCAGACGGCCCTGTCTAGCTTTGGGATTCCTCTGGAGGTTTGTGGGGATCCAAGGGGTTTGGGCGTCCCTTCTTCAACTGTTGCCCCGCCTTTGGATGGGCGGAAGAGGATGGGTTTGCAGGTCACTAATGTCATTTTCTCTTATTAATGCATTTTCTATTTTATGTCTTTGTTTTACAGCACTTGGATGAAAACAGTAACGAGGCCATAGAACAGACTACATGTAGAATCTACATTCTAGCAGATGAAGAAAGCAATGACATTGGAATTGTCCTCGAAGGAATAAGGTCATAGACTCTCTGGACAGTGTAGCATTGGCTACTGCAATGCTTTTTGGACTAATCTATGCGCTTAACCTACAGTACCTTACACACCTCAACTACACCTTTGAGGTGTTCATGGAACTGGATGGAGGCAAACTTTCGAACAAGGCACTTGTACTGACAAACAGGCTTTTTCAGTGACTGCCTCTACACACCTCAGATCAACCTCATTTACATCTACACACCTCATTCAGACCTACACACCTCAGATCAACCTCATTCAGACCTACACGCCTCATTCAGACCTACATACACTGTAATAAGTGAATCAGACCAAACTTTGATGTAAAATATTTTAAGTAATTACAATATACTTAATTTTCCACTATTTTATATTTTTGGTTGACAAATAAGTACTGTACAATATTATCATAGCACCCTGTACAATACTGATTTTATTGCTTTAAGTGAAAATACTTTAAATATTTCTTCTATAAACCTGGTGGTCCACTAAATGACAAAATAAATGTATTGTGTTGATTGAAAACAAAATGTGGCAAAGCAGTGATGCTTCCCAGAATGCATTGCAGAGCAAAATATAAACTTCTTAAAAATTCTACATTTGAGCATTAATTTTAAGAGTGAATAGGAGGCAAATAAAGCAAAATACTTGAGCAACATTTTGAATAAAGTACTTGTATTTATTTTTACCAACCATAATCATCGGGGCCAAGCCAAAGCAACCCTTTACTGCCTGGGTACTATTTAAGTAGCTATCAGATACTATAAATATGTCATCATGCTTGCTTAAAACTGAGCTCTACTTGAGTTGCTGGCACAACTACTTATCAGTATGAGAGTTTCAGGATATTACAATACAATGATTACAAGAACTAACAAACTTCCTCCAGGTGGGGTAAAGTTACACTTTGAATGAACACAAAAATATTGAGTAAATTGATCATCTCCAAGTTAGTTTTGCTTTGAAAAGACACACACATTTTAAGTAAATCAATCTAAGTAAGTAAATCAGTCAAAGTAATAGTTTTGCATTCTGTCAAATTGAATTTCATATTATTTATTACTTAAAAAAGAGCTCAAGTTGATAGGACTCAAAAAGGCTGATGCAACCTCTTACGGTAATTTTTTGTTTCTGATTAAAGCAACACTTTTTACAGTGCACCTCATTCAGACCTACACATCTCAGACCTACACACCTCATTCAGACCTACACACCTCAGACCTACACACCAGATAGAGCACACACATACACTATAATGTTGTATTTCAGGGTTCTTGCAGGTCTCTGCGTCTTGGTGCCGGTTCTTTAACAGTTCTTTTTTTGTTGCTTGTTATTTTAATTAGAATAAAATAGCAACAGAAGCGACACAGTCCGCAGCAGCGTCACCTGTAAGTGTTTTGAGCAGAATTTCCACCTAAGCAGAGGGAAAAGACATTATTACTTCCTGAGCTGCAGAGACGGCTTACAGTCCGTGTGTTACGGGAAAATTGGTTCCATAGATCATTGTTGTTCTGTCAGGTTGCTGAAAATTCACTTTCAATAAGAGTTCTTTAAATATTTAACTTTGATCCTCCTTTTTCAAGTGATCTATGGCTTTGTACAGTATTTATTCACACATGCTACCAATACATTTGTATTGTGATTTGTATACATTTGTATAGACAAAGAGGAATTTCTGATTTCAAGTTGAAGCACAGGGATAACACAAATATTAAATCATGTTAAAGTTACAAATACAAATTTAGTACACTGTACAACATGAAATTATTCCACATGACACAAACAAAATATGTAACTGTAACTGACTACGAATGTATAGGATCAACATAATTTTTATCTTAACCGCAATGTGATTTAAATGTTTAGATTTCACAAATAATAATTAGGTAATGTTTACACAAAATGGTTACATAACCATAATGTGCTAATAATACGTGGAGGCAACATGATTTTTTTCAGCATTCATGATGGGAATGAGTCATTTTGGTTTGACGTATTCATATTACGTGGGACTGATGTACGCATTAAATCATGTAAATTCAACAAGTTTTTTTTTTCAGTGCAGGAGAGAGGCCTGAGAGACAGGAGAGAGACCTGAGAGAGACAGGAGACAGAGAGAGAGAGACGTGAGAGAGGGACAGGAGAAAGACTTGCGAGAAAGACAGGAGAAGTCTGAGAGAGACAGGAGAGAAACCTGAGAGAGGGACAGGAGAGAGACCTGAGAGGGGGACAGGAGAGAGACCTGAGAGAGGGACAGGAGAGAGACCTGAGAGAAACCTGAGAGAAATCAGAGTGATATCTAGGACAGGGAAACTAGAGAAAGACTAGAGGGAGATATAAGAAAGAGTGTGTGAAAGAGAAAGAGAAATACCAAAGTGAGACCAGAGAGAGACCTGAAAAAAGATTGGCGACCAGAATGGGACGAGAGAGAGTTCTGATTTGTTGTTGGTGATTCAACAACTTTGTGAAGTCTCTGAGATTACTGCTGTAGTGATTCAGGGCGATACACGACTACATTGATTTGAAATATGTTGTATCAAATTGAGAATTACCTGTAACAAAACATGTACCGTATCTCTGGCTCTGAAACCTACTGTAGCTCTAGTATGGGCATGAAATAACTTCAATATTTAGTTATTAATAAAAGATGAATGAACCTTGATTAGAGAGTTTGACCTTGCTGGAATAAAAAAGAAAATACCAAATTCCTCTTTTGATTGGGTCCATGCTGCATCTCTGCGGCTTCCCCACAGAATTTCTTTAAAATGTAATGAAAAAAATGTATCAATAGTCAAATAAGAATCGATCCGCCCTAAGACTAAAGACTGACAGCACTAACAAGATGAAGTTCTATTGAATTAGCCAAATGAGATCTCATTATCCGTGCGTTTGTGCACATTACCCCAGATGGAAAAGCAGTCTCTGAATAAGTGGATTCATAATAGATCTTTGGTCCATTTACTTCTGCGGAGCGTTAAGCCTAGCGTACATCGGACTGGCAACTGATTATATCCGTCGCATATGAGTTGCTGCCCCGCACACATCGACAATCTGACGAAAACGGGCAACTCCCAGTAGCAGACCAGTCTCGGGAATAACAGCGCGTACATCGACAGCAACTGGCCTCAACTACAGTGTGTTTTCTGACATAAACTGTTGCGCGCTCGCAATACACGCAATACACACACGTTGTCCGAGCGGCGCATGGAGCGCGCACATCGGGTCATATCTCCGAAACTGAGGACAACTAGTTGCCAAAAAGTAGAACACGGGCAACTGACTGAAACTGGAGACCGACTGATCATCTCCAGTTGTAAGAGCGCGCACATCGACCGATTTCGGCAACTGATCATCTCCCACCATCTCCTCTCAGTTGCCAAAAGCCGCCTTGCAACTAGTTGTCCCCAGTTTCTCTGTCGATGTACGCTAGGCTTTAGACGGATCTGGAAGCAGTGTGTGTTCAGTCACATATGGACTGTTCCCTTCCAACTCAATCCTCACACTTGACTTTTGTTGATTTTTTGTTACCGCACAAAAAGGGACCTAAAAAAGGCAAAACATTACAAACTGTTTAAGAGGAGGGGGAGGGTCCGGAGGCAACTCGTAGTAGACAAGGAGACCAATGAGAGGAAAACAGGCACAGCAGATGAAGATGAAACAATCTGGCACCAACCGGCTGAAGAGCTGTGTACTTATTTTGTGCAGGGGATGATTGTGCCCCACCCCTGAACTCACACAGAGGGAAGGGAGGGGGAGTAGAGCAGGCAGCGGAGACAGAGTGTGACATTTGTACTGAAACTAAATCATGAATTCTCAATAATTGTAAAGCGCTGTGGGTGACCTTGGTCTGTAAAATGAGCTATAGAAATAAAACCTACTAACTCATAACTGGTGCGGTTTATAAACAGGTGAGCTAAGTCGTCCAGCAAATCCTGTACCTTTAGTCCTCTCTCACATACAGTAGATCAGCAGAGAGAACCTCCTTCACTCCGTGAAGGAGGTGCCCAAAGCGTCAAATAGTGACTCATAGGGCTCTTTCTTACACAGTTGCAAAATAATTTTGAATAAGATGGATAGATAGATACTTTATTAATCCAGCGTTGGAGAAATTCAGATGTCCAGTAGCAGCAGAATTCCTGTAATTCCAGTTGTTAAGTGAACAACAGGAATTGTTCACTTAACAACAACAAGTGTTTAACAACACTTAAACAAAACACGTGTTTTATCCACGCGTGCGTTTAATCCACGCATTTTATCCACGCGTTTACTTCACGCGTTTTATCGGCGCGTGCGTTTAATCCACGTGTTTAATCCACACGTTCAATCCACGCGTTTCATCCGCGTTTTGAGATGATCCTGGTGCTGATGCTGTGTATGCAGCAGGGGTTAGTAGGTGCGCGTCCTATTCCAACTACTACTCCTACTGCTCCTGCTCCTCCTGCTCCTCCTCCTGCTACTACTAATGTCGAGCCTACTCTCATCTCAAATGGACGCTGTGTTTCCTCGGGGGGAATTCATTGATACGAACTTCTACCGCATGCGTCTAAGTGGTTCCAACTCCCCAGATTGCAGCGTTTACAAACTGGCCTGGACGAACTACACTCATTTGGGGATCCGGATCCCAATGTTTGGCTGTGGGACCAAACGAGTTGAGACGGAGGGGTCTGTATACTTCCTAAACCGTCTGGTTTATGGAAGGGAGGCCATCCGGCTCGAGTGTGTGAACCCCACCGTACATGTGGCTGTCCTGGGACATGTGCCCAAACCTGAAGCAACCGTTACAGGCCAAGGGAACGGGCCCGACCCTGAAGCAAGCAATACAAGCAATGGGAACGGGACCGAGGAGGAGGACGGGAGCGAAAGCGAGGAGAAGCCCGAGGTCCCGTCTGGGGCAGGCAACAGCACCATCGGCGCCAACAAATGGCTGGACCTGTGGGTTGTCCTCCCCCGTTTACTCGTCCTCTTCCTCCTCCTCTTCTGCTTCTACGATGTCTGTCAAACGAGGAGGAGTGAGAAGAGGACAAAGAAGAATAAGAGAGAGGCAAAGAAGGACAGGGGGGCAAAGGATGAGGAGCCACAGCAGCAGTTTGATGTGGTGGATTTTGTGTAAGACACCACCCTCCCTCAGGATCCCGCTTCAACAGCAGTGGGACCACTCCCTCCCTCCCTCCAGAGCTTGGTGAGCTACTACCTGTAGCTAGTAGCCCGCCAAGCTGAAACCTACTGATGATGTGTTGTTACTATTGCCACAACACATCATCAGTAGGGTAAAACTAACCCTACTAATGCTTGAATACCACCAAGCTACTGGTGGTATTCAAGCATTTCAGCTTGGTCAGCCTATGGCTAGTAGCTCGCCAAGCTGTGAGCTAATAGCCACAGGCAGCTGTGGCTATTTGCTCACCACCACCGCGCATGGAATGAAGGATTAGTGTGACGTGCTGCCTGAAATATGAAGCTTTAATTAAGGTTGAAGGCAACAGTTTGAGGCAGCAGTAGCACTTTGGTGTCATGGCCGGCACTTTGGTGTCATGGCCGGCACTTTATAAATGCAACAGAATTGATAATAATGGCTTCAAAGTTAGTTTAGTTTAGTTTTCTTGCCATTGAGAGGATCTAGCTCCGGAGGCTTGAGTTTGATCGGTTGCTGTTGACCCTGAGATGTAAGAGAAAACTGGAATAGACTCGTCTTGAAAATGGTCTACAATAGTTACCCCCCACCCCCAACCCCACTGCATACAAAAAACAAAATAAAAAATATTATTAAACATGTTGATGTCTGTATATTCAACTTTTTTGAACACTTCAAATTAGCCCTCACTAATTAACAGCTAATTAAGTGCTGATTAGTGTATCCTAACTAACTCTAACACACATGAAGTGTCAGTTATGCCACTTTTCCACAGTAACGGTACGGTACGGCACAGCAGGGTTATTTTGCATTTCCACCAGGGTTGGGCTTGGGATCAGGGTACTTTTTTTGTACCACCTCGGCTGTGGTTCCAAGCGAGCCGAAGCGATACCATAACGTGACGTCAGCCGACTGCCTTACACTGATTGGTCAACGAGTGTCGTCACTGGAAGCTGCGTTCGACCCTATGGCAAAAACAACTCAACCCGCCATCTTTAAAACCAGCTGCTCTGCTACGGCTATAATACGTCCTCCTCACTCCAGAGAAATGGAATCGCACAGAAAGCCTCAAAAGGCCCTGGTCGGTGGACAAGGTCCACATGTTACTCTCTTTAGGCCGAAGAAAGAATTCAAAGGCAGCTCGAACGCACAACACGGAGGTTTCACGAGGTTTTCAGGGAGATCGCTCGTTTGGTGACTAGGCTGTGGTAATCCTGGAAATAACTGGTTAGCTACGTATCCCGTTGGCCCAACGAAATGTATTTACTCGTGCAAAAGTTTGATTGTCTGTTGTACATGGTGAACTAGCTACATTTAGCTATCGATAGCAAGCTAAGCTAAAACGTCCTTCCTGTGCTAGTGTGCTATAGAGATTTCTCGCGTGACGTCACAAGGGCTTGGAGTTGCGAGGCCTCCGCCATATTGGAGAACAAGCAAACGCAGTGTGGTAGTGGCGTGCCCCCGGCACCGCATAAACATGTTCAAACTTTGTGCCGTTTTTGGCTGAAGCAATAGGGGAGAAAGGGACAATAAGTTGTTTTACCGACTGCCAGCTGGCCTTACTTCACATGGCTCCAAAACAGAAGAAATCTCCAAGAAACGAGAGAGAAATGGCAAAAGAACGACTGAGCCCTGCTCGAGGCAGGGTGCCCCGTACTTAGTATTTATTAATAAAATATACGGCTCCTCACAGTAGACGCAGAAAGCTCCATTGATTTGAATGTAATTTCATTATTTCCACGCTAGTGTAGCCACACATAGATCCAGAGTGTAACAATAAACACAAATTACAATAAACACATTTAAATGTTAATCGGAGAAGACATTATACACACATTCTTAGTACACGTGCACAGAGGTTTTCAGAATGATCTGTAGTAACTATCAACATAATAATACATTTTAGGACTCATTTGCAGAGGATCTGATTCATAGATTTAGGTTGAGTATATATTTGGGTCATTAACTGCTGATTTTTAGAATGTTCAGTTTTCATGTAGTTCGAGAGAGTTCTAGTTTTGAACGTCCAGTTATAAGTAGCTAGCATGGCTGTTACTCGCCGGTTGTCCTCCGGTATGGCGGCCGTGGCTACTAGTCACGTGACCGTAGGATCCCTCTATATCTTGCTCTTTCACGTGTTGCCATTCTGTTTTGTGCTTGTACTTAAGTTGTCGTGTGTTTATTTATTTGTTTGAGAATCCCTTCCCACAAGTGAGGAGATTACCAACGAGAAATGAGTGTCTTTTACTTCTATTAACATTGCAAACATTATATTTGTCAGTAAATCAGTATAACCTGGGTCAATATATGAATAAGGGTGGAGACATTTGCTGAATACAAAAAGGTTTTATTTTTGGTCAAAACAGACAAGGGTAAAATGAATGTTTAGGCATATGACAAAGTTATGCATCAGACCCTCCTCTGCACCACTGCTAAAGGCTGCTGTTTCTACAGGTGTCACATGGTCTCATGGTTTTCTCACAGATTGTGCAGAGCAGGTCAGCACCATTGACTTCACATGTTCAGTGTCCGAGTCAACCTCTTAAGCTCCTACATCTGTTTTGGCTCGTGCACAAAAGTTTGGCATACCCAAATGTCTTTGCTTATTTAAAAACAAATCTTACATCTCACATGCTTGTGTGATGCATCATTTTAAAACTAGGCCCTTCTAGTTTATGTACACTGAAACTTATGTAATATACACTGAAATAATGTATGTCATTCCTATTTCGCTCTGCATCCTTTGAAGTTTGGGGAAAAACCTGTTTTTTAGCCTCGCCTAAAAAATTCAATGTATAAATGCCCTAAAAAAGCCTACTTCATTGGAAGAAGAAAATTTTCAACGCTATTTTGTTCATTGTGTTGTTGACAACAACTGTGTAAAGTTTCAGACTTCTAAGTTTTATAGTTTTTATGCAGTTTCTCTTTTTTATCAAGTAGTGCCATTCGGAACCAATTTGGCAAAATGTGTGCCAAATTGTGTCAAACGGCTTTACTAACATTTCACCATCATAAAAAGCATATTTTTTAGTTTTGGTACTTATAAGTTACAAATCTGTGTGATTTTCTTTTACAGTTTTTCAAAATTATTTTTTAGTAGTGTAAATGCATATAAAATATGCGCAGCAGTAGTAACAGCGTCTTTACGCACGCTTTTACTGTGAAAATGAAAAGAGTTCCTACAAGTCCCACCCATCAAAAGAAAGCTCTTTTTATTGGCTACTTAGACACGTCAATCATTAAGTGTTAGCACATTGCGCTACCCATGCTAATCAACAACAAGGGAAAAAGGACCCTGTGCAAGTGGATGCGGTTCGTCTTTTTCACAAGGGTCCTGCGGACTGAAACCTGCTCCTATCTGTTCATGGAACCTCTCTTTTTGAAGCTAAGGACTCAAGGAACACGTGGATATGATGTTTGTGGGGCTAAACAAAGCTCAAACTTGGTGAAATGCAGTGGCGGCCGGCCAATAGAGGGCGCTAGGGCGCCGCCCCACCACTCACAACTTGCCATGTTACCTTGAATAAAACGTAAAAAAAAAAAAATAACATTAAAATATTTCGAAATGTATGTGTGTTTAATTTCAGATGTGGAAGAAATACTTTATAGTTTATGCTGAGTTAGATTGATTAAGCTCATCAGCGTTGTCTGTGTCGGACTGAGGACGTATTTCCGCCTCAGGGCGCAAAAGATTGCGCCCTGAGCCGTCTATGGACTCTCGTTAAAAGTTGTACATGCGCAGTAGCTCCTCTTCAATGCAAGAGATAAGACGATTTGGGGGCGCAAGAGAAGTGCGCCCTGAGGGGGCGGGATCGCCCGCGACCTGTACTGTCACTGTCTGTGACGTCGGTTTACAGTGATTGACAGGTCAAGCTGTGGGAGTTTGAGACGAACGTAAAGAGACGCAAAATGGAGAACGAGAAAAAGAATAATTCAGTTAGATCACTCAAAACAATACCGTTTGAGAGAAGATCATACCAGGAGAAGGTTGAGGTTAAAGAGCTTGGACCTGATCAGCCAAATATTACCATTAGTCAGCAGTCCAGCGACAGGGGGAGACGGTACACTCGTACTTTTTCCAGGACCTGGTTCAGCGCCAAATCTTGGCTAGCAGCATGTAGTGAGGCTAATGCTTTATTTTGCTTTCCATGCCTCTTGTTTCAAACATCAGGATCTGACCCAGCATGGATCAAGACAGGTATGACTGATCTGAAGCACTTTTTAGAAAAGGCAAAGAAGCATGAGCAGACTGGTATCCACATGCAAAATGCCCTCAAATTAGCTATGTTTGGGAAGATAAATATTTCATCCCAGCTGGATGAAAGCTACAGGGTAGGGATCAGAAAGCACAATGAGGAGGTTGACAAGAATAGGCACATCCTATCAAAAATTCTCGTGTGAGGCTTCAGTCACAACAGTCAGTGTAAACTTACTTACTGCTGGTATATATCTAGTCATCATATTCATAGCCCCCCCAGTAGAAAATTCCACCAGCCGCCACTGGTGAAATGTAAAAGAGAAGCCTGAACATTTTTCGGAGCGTTTTTTTTGCAACAGAAAAATGCACATTTTTGGATTATTTCTGAAGAATGGATTATACTTTGGGAAATACAAGTGGATATTCTTTTTTCACTGAAGACTTACGGAGAGAAAGAGACTAAGCAAGGATGGGGAAAGTCTAATTTGTTAGAGCTGCAGAAGGCGAAAGGTAAGAAACTTATACAAACACGATTTATTTTGTGCCCATATTATGCGTTATATCTTTTTAATGCAAAGTCTGATATTGTTTACACTTACATATAAATATAGCTGAGAAAATAAGCTTAAGGGGTTAAGTATTCTACTCCACTCAACTCTTTACTCTTCTCTACTGTATTCTTTGTTCTATTATTATTATTTATGGTTGAGTTACAACAGGGTAACAATTACAATGTTACTGTACAGACTTAAAAATTGTACCAGGTAAAGGTTAATAGTAC